AAGCTCAAACATATTAGCCAGTAAACCACCAGCTCTTTGCTCCTAAGCACGCTGAATTCAAGCTTTCACTGTATTTTAAATCTAAAGCAAGTTAACTGGCATTTGAAATTGGTTACCACAACACAACCAATGCATATCAATTTGTTCAGCTTAAGTGCCTGAGCCTCCACTTTTGTTGAAACTTCACGGCATTTTTTTTTAAAAAATGATTTAAAGTTTTTACTAGTTTGTCTGTGGTTTGTAACAATTAAATCTGAAATTTGCAAGCTTTGCATAAACCTTACACACACGCACACACACACAAGTGTAAATATGAAAGCTTTCCCTCCACTCTATCTTTCAGTCTCCTTTTGAAATAGAAAGTAATGAAAAATCACAGGGCAAACTTGAACAACAGGATTTTGTTTCTTAAGTGGCGTCTGCTAATTAAATATATGACAGCAATCTACACAATTAGTTTCTCCCCTTAATCAGTCTGTGCATTCACAAAAACTGCTACCTTCCCCATTTGTCCATAACTATGTATCTTTTTTTATTTTTAAGCAAAGCAGCATTGAAATTCCTTTTCTAATAGTACTGGTAGAACTCCGAGCTGCTTCTAACAGAACACACGTTAAAACTGAGGAGTGCTGTGCAGCTCTCCTGCTGTAAATGAACTTGGAGACTAAAGGATGAACGCGGCCTGGTGGGCACAGCACGGCACCCTTGGCATCCTTCTCACTGGTAAGGGAAGGCCTGCTGTAATACATGGGGCGCTCAAGAACATGAAGATACAACCGGCCATGTGTCTTGCTGACACTTTAGTTAACAGGAACTGTGAGGCTAACCGGAGCTGGTGTTTGGAAATGTGTCGCCAAAGCACTGGGGTCTGTCACAGCTGAGGCTGCTTGAAGAGGAAGCTGAACTGTACAGTGTACTTCACTCACTACTGCTCTGAGAATCACAGAATCACAGAATCTCTTCAGTTGGAAGAGGCCTTTAGGATCATCAAGTCCAACCATTAACCAGTGCCAGGTCACTAATAAACCATGTCCCTAAGCACCAGATCAACACGTTGTTTAAATACCTCCAGGGATGGTGACTCCAGCGCTGGGCAGCCTATTCCAAAGCCCAATGACACTTTGTATTCCAGGTCATTTTTAGTGACGGTGAGCTAGGGAGCTTTCGTGGTGGTCTTTGTGAAACTGCTTTCTCCCAACAGCATCGTGTATGCTCTTCATGCAGTGATGCTGCTTCAGCCACATAGAGTCAGACATGATTTCACCCCAATGGCAGTGACTTAAACAAGGGTGCTCGCTGCTCTTGTTATCCAAGACATCACTTGCCTTCCAAGCCCACTCTGAGACATGAGCAGATGCCATCACTCCCAGTCCCCTCAGAGAGTTAAATATCCCACTTTCCCTAGTGCTGCTTGCTTTCAACTCGGGGCATGCAACTTCACCGACTTGCTCAGACATGTGCGTGAGGGTGTGGCCATTACTGCCATGTGGAGTAGGCAGCAGCAGATGCAGCGAAGGAGCCTGTGCCCTCTGCTCAGCACTTTCATGTAACGGGCACTAACTAACATGAAATCATCCTGGAGAGCCTCTCAGCTCAAAGACAGATGACCAAACGTTAATCACGTGGCTGCCAGCAGCTAACCTTAGCCAGGGAGAAGGATATGAACTGACTGGAACTTCTGTGTTGCTGCAGAAGACTTGAGGAAGAGCTCAACTGGGAAATGGAGACAAAATCGAAAACTAAAAAAAAAACCGAATAGGAAGACAAAGGTAATTCGGCAGTAGTTGTGCCTTACAGGCTGCCTTGGGAACCCCTTGAATTCTGCACAGTGGTGTCTGAGCTCAGAGTCACTGCCACTGTTCTAGGAACAACCCTTGCTTAAGTGCAACCTGTTTGCTGTTACTCCTGCTGGGTAAGGCAGCTTCCCCTGAGTAGCTCGTTCCTCGCACAGCCTGCTCCGCCACGCACAGCTCACAAGCAAGCGAATGCTCTCCCCTGGCAGAGACAACCTTTGCTGCAATGCAGAAAAGCAGTAATTTAGCACCTGGCCAAATTATTTTGGGATTTCTGCACTGTACTGAGGCTGACATATCTCACAACTAACAGGGTCTGTGCTACAAACACATCAGTTTTCTTTCTCGAGAGTCTGTGTCTTCACTTAGTTTATAACTGTGATGATAATATCAGGGCTGAATTGTAGGGTCATCCAAACAGGCCTAGCATTCAACCAAAATGTTTAGTTCTTTGGCAGCCTCATCTGGCAATGGCAGCAAGACTGGTGCTTGGAGCAGTATCTCTACTTATATAAAGAAAGAAGCATTTTTCCCCACAAGTGCATAATGGCAATTAAGTAAAAAATAAAGACAAGCAGCATTATGCACACTCTTCAAGCTGAGAGTAAATCAACAAGCATGCCTCATCTTCTAAAACTGTAACCAATCCCTTAACTGTGTGGGCAAAATTCTTCAGCTGAGTCCCTCCACTCTGCTATATAAATTTTACATTCAGCTACACAGTCACAAAACAGGGCTGTTGGAAGAAATCACTGCTTATTTACAACCAAAACCATATGACTAATCACGTCAGCTCTCTTACATATTGGGAGTCTAATGCATTCTATTTACAGCCTTGCAACTAGTCTACAATTTTTTCCACTAAGCAATAGAACTAATTCCCATTTTCCAAAGAAGTAGCTTTAATACCAGCCCGATGCTAAAAAGCCATGAGACAGAACTTATGATCACACTTGGCAGAACACATTTGCATGCTGTTCAGTCAGCCTGGGAAGGCTCAAGTGCAGCCTTTCAGATCCCATGAAGATTTAAAATAAAACCAAAATTATGTTTCTTAACGGAACTATGCCTATTTTTCTTTTTACTCTGACCCAATACTGCCACTGTCAACAAGGGTTAAAAAGTGCTAGTAGTAGTAGTAGCAGTGGGTTTACAGTACTTTTTGTGCAGGCATGTCTGGTCTGTGGAAGGAAGTAGGGTGTTTTTCTTCCAGCTCTGCGAAACAGCATGCCTCCAATGATCAGGAGGTTTCCCAGGGTTTTGCCCTAGGAGGGTACTTTCTTGCATGGTTGCTGTTCATATTAAAAGTTTCACTGTTATTTTTCCTGTTGGTTAATGGACTTCCTTATCCTTCCATGTGCTGGAATCCTTCTACAGATCATTCACTGAAGAATGGATTCATATGTCATGTTTAACTATTTGACTTGTTTTGATCTCTTGGTCAGCCTGGGAACCTGTTTCTCACTTTCTCTCTGAGCTTAAGGAAAACAATGTCACCAACAGTGATGACACTAATCTGACTACCATTAGTTGCACTACAGCCCCTCCAGAAAAACACAATAATCACTGATGGCCATGATGGCTCAGCTATAGTGACCACTTGACCTAGTTGCAAGTCAAGTCTGAAGCCCAGTTCCCCAGAACCTATGGCATAGAATCATAGCAACATCTACTGAATCTGTGTGCTGAAGCGTTTGCAGGCTCAGGCCCTCGAACCAAATTGAGTCTTTAGAGCTCATGTGTCTATTTTTCTGCTCTGTCTATTGACAAGCAATTCTAAGAATCTGTCACTAGTAGGCAAAAATAGAAACAAGACAGGAAAAGCTTTGAACCTAGAAAGTGTTTGTGGTATTTCAGTGCACGCAAATCTCTCATGATGAGCTTATGAAAGAACTGCCCTTGAAAGTGCTATGGAGAAGTTTTGGAAAAAAATTAATCCTGCAAAGTCACAGAACAAAAGCCTATTGCAGTAATTAAAAATTACTCTGCAGAGGATGGTGACGGTAATGTGAGAAGCTTATTATCTATCAGAACTCAGGTAAGCAGATAAATGCCCAGAAGAGTTAAGACAACAGTTTGGAGAAAGCTTTGAGACTGAAGCAGTATTCCCAGAACAATTTACAAAGAGGAAAGCTTTCCCCTTTGTGGGTCTCTAACAACACTGACAGACTTGAAGGGAGGTTCCATCTGCAGAGACAGTAACCACAACTGACCCTGGTGATCCTGGCACCTGGCAGCACCCTCACAGGAGCCAGCCCAGGGCTCCTTAGGGTGCTGTGCATGGATCACAAATCTGCTAATGGGTGCTACGGATAGAGTATGGCTGCTAATGCAAGTCCACCTCAAGTGGGAAGAGGGTGGCTTGACCAGCTCCAAGCACAATGTAAATCCATCCTGTGCAGAAACAGAATTTGAATTTACCCCGATCATCTGCTCCATTATTTGCTACGGTCCCTACCACCTGCATGAACTTACTTCCACAACTGCCTGTTTGTTGCTAAGAAGACTCATAGAGAAACAGTTTTCTTGAGAAAGATGTGCTGTACGTATATGTGCAAGCTGGCCCTTCTGAAATAATGCAGGTTCAGCAAAATTCCTCCCTGAATGTCAGCCCCTTTTCAAAGCTTCCCAGCACAGATGAGGCTTTAGACCCTTTTGTCAGTGTCAGCACCATCTCTGAGATTGCTTCTTTTAGTTCATTTTGAGAGTAAGCAAAGGCAAAGTACTCCCAGCATGGAAGACTGGTGCCATATGAGGTGGCTGGGAACAGCTGCTGCAGTTTCGACACATGCTGCCTTTCCCGCCGTTCGCAGCAGATGAAGGATGCCCAGGGACAGGCTGCCATCCCACTGCACATGACACAAACGTGGTTTTTCATTTTCCTGATGTGCTGATTACCATAAGTTTCGTTCATTTAAAAAAAAAAAAAAAGGCATCTGATATCTGCTTGCATGTGGAGGCTGACTTGAAAAGCAGTGAGAATTAAATTAAATAACCTTAGCCCTTAAGATATCTAGCCCAAGCTAATGAAAGATGATTTTCTTAGTACTTCAGTACTATGATCATACTCCCTCCTCCTGATAAAAATAACAGAACTTCATAAGGAAAGACAACTCACCTTTCTTGAACTAGTGCTTTTAGTATTAGGTAGAAGAGATAATTTTCTGGTTGACATGAAAGCCGAAGAGTTGAACAAAGGTTTCTTACCGTTAAGGACAATGCCATGCAAACAAAAGTGAACTTCTTGATATGTGTCGCTGTGACAGTGCTGTTGGTGTTCACCAATTTATTGCTGGGGTTATTCTAGGGTGAGAGAAAGAGATAACGAGCATTAGGTTGGCTCCAGACTACTGAGAGGCTGACAGCGCCAGGGTCATGTCTTGGACCTGACTGTCTGTGCCTGTGCATGTCTGCCTTTGCTTGTTTGCTTTTTAACCTAGAGCCTTCTGAGTACTTTGTACCACCATTGAATGTTTTCCACTTGAACTGACAGCAACAGCTCCTATTGTCACTGAAGGCTGAGTAATCTCCCTACTTTTCTAAGGAATAAGTCCTATTGAACAAATTCAGCTTTGAAAAAGTGTGGTAGCTCTTTCTAAGGAAATGCTAAGTGATTTTTTTTTTTTTACCTTAAAGTTTGTAGCATATTTTCACATGAAAACCACGTTTTCATTCCCTTTTACCACAGAGTAGTACCAAATCTGTACACCAAGGCAAGTACTCTTACTGATTCAATTAGACAAGGAATAATACAAACAAAGCTCCTAGAACAGCTGGCTCTGTTAATGCAGTTTAACGAACAGAGCATAATTGGGACTGTTAGATGTTCCACCTTGAATGTGGACTCTCTACTCACATGGCAGCCAAGTTTTATTTAAAATAATGACAAAAGCCCTCTTCCAAATGTCTAATATAGCAGATGAAGCTGAAGATTTAAAATTGCTCTCAGGGAACACATGAAAACAAACAAAATTGTCTGCAGAAGGAGAGAATGAGATATCAAAAGCAGGGCACCATTAGGAGCCTGACAGCAATAGGTTGCTGGGTCATCTATTGCACTTACTCTGGGGCTATTTGCGATACACAAGTATGTGCCCATGCTGCTAAAACCTGTATCATGAGATGTAGTACAGGATTTATTCAGCCTTGATGTAACTCAGGTAGAACAGCAGTATCTGTCACACGGTCAGCCTCCTCTAGTGAAGTTACTTCTAAGAGAAATAGGAACTTTTGCAAACACATCTTGAGAGCAGACAAACCGACCATGAGCTCTGTGAAGGGCACATTATTTCACATACATTCAAATAGGTGATGGAATTTTGCAATTTAAAGCTTTTGTGGTGATCAGCACAGAGACAGCAGTCTGCTTGGAAGTTTGGGTGCAGGAAGACACAGGCACGCAACTCAGACTCTAAAGCAGGAAACTACTCCCACATCTACCCTTTTTGGGAACAGGTTCTGAAAACTCTCTGTAAACATTTTTTTCACACATCTATTCTTATTTCATGTGTTTCTGAAGAAATACCTTGCTACTGTTATTTTTTATATATGTGAGGAGAGGCCTTGCTTACATCATTCACCAGTGTTTAGACAAACTCTGCTGCATGGCTCAACTTTCTAACAAGGCTAAAAATAACAGAGAGGAAGGAAAGCACACTCCAAATCCAGCCATCCAAAAAAGATGCAAGGAAAAGGGGCTCCTGTCTATTCTTTCCTCACTGCAGTTAACTCTCCCCTTCGATCTACTCCACCCTTTGCTTTAACTCTTGACCACATGCTCTTTATTCCTATCTCTTGCACACTGTTTAGTTCTTGGATCAAAACACTACGCAGATTATGGAGCAAAAAGAGTATCCATTCCCATTTATTTATCAGATAAATAGCTTTCACAAGTCCTATCACAGTCAGTGTTGTTCCTCTGAATCAGACAGCACAGTCCATTAAGAATAATGGCATTATACCATATAAAACACCAAACAGAGCAGAGAACTAGTATAGGCCTGTTTTCTTTCAAAAAATCAGCAGTAACTTTTAGCCTGAGTGTAACTGCAAGGTCATGAAGTTGCACTGGACAATCTTATAGAAGACCACAGCAGGACCCTGCATCTCTCTTACAAACATGAACAGGGGTAACAATTTTTCTGTGAAGATGAGAATCTGACTTCTCCAACAGAGCCACTGAAGAGGGGCACAGTATCTGGATCCCAAGTCCCCTCAGTCAGTGAAGGCAATGCGGTGTGCTTCTCACGGCCACCAGCATTGCTTGCTTTCTGCATAACCCACAAAAGAAAAGGGGAGCTTGCATGCATCAAAACTGTTTCAGCATCTGAAAATCACAATGGAGGCTATACAGAGTCCGGAAGTAAAAAGTGCTTCTCTATAGACTCTTCTGAGAAAGCCTTAGCTTAAGGAAACAAAGCATTTGAAAGAAACAGTGACACGCAAATGACGCATGACTGAGGGTAAAGCAATTCTCACAGCAATCTAAAAAAAAACTCTGTGGGTTTCTGGTTTCGTATTTATTGCCTGAAAGGTATGACAGAGGCATTTGCAACATGGTTGCCAAGATGAGGTACCCTTTATACTGTTGCTACCTCACTTAGCACATTTTATGCCAAATTGCTCTTAAAACATGCAGCTAAAATCCCCATGATGTACTTTTTTGGTAATTAGATAAACTGTACTGCCTCACATTTGTTCCACAAGAGCTCTATGAGAAGTCTTTTAACTCAAATCTACAAACAGACAAATCATGGTCTGATCCTGCCACCACTAAAGTTGTCATCACATCTTCCACCAGCTAAATGAGACCTTTAAGAGTCTTAATTGCTGTTAATTTTGCTTTGCACTTGATTGTGGCCTATAACTGATGAAGTCAGCAGCCCCTGTATCTCCTGTCCCAAACCATTTTTATCTGGGAGCTTATTGGTTTTGCAGCTGCAGTTCCTTTTCATCAGCATGACCTCTGAGAAAGCCTGCATGTTATATTCTATCTGACAGGTCAATTTACCTGTACACAGGCAGGTTAGGAAGTTATGACTGATTTGACATTTCTTTGTTTTGTTTTTAAGTTCTCCTCGTAAATATGGTATTGAACAGGGCTTGCTTTGATTAAGTACATCCTGGAGCAAGCAAACATGTTTTTCGTCAGTATTTGGAACCAGAAAGTCTAGACACTAATTGGTAAACAAAGGGAAGGATAGGATCTGGCATTTGAATTAGTGTATCAAGGAACACGACTGTTCTTCACACAGCGTATGGGCTAGTGAGTACCAGTTCTGAAACAGAACAAAAAAAAAGAGTCCAAACAAAATTAATTTTGGTTACATATTTACTCTATGCTCAGTTCCAGGATCAGTCCTTGCATACTTATGTAATTACATGATTTGTCAACCAAAATCTTAATAATCTTGGTCGGCTAAGTCAGTACTACTAAAACAATGTGTTCTCTGTCAGTCTATGAATCAACCTTTGCCAAATATTAACATAAGGAAATTAATCCAAACCCCTTTGAGAGATACCACAGAATCTGGAGCAGAGACGTGAGCTTGCTCACTCCTGATGGACACTTGGTAAGAAATCACTGCATGAGCAAAGTTGCTACATCACAGTGAATAAGCGAGGACTTCTTTTAAGCCTTAAAAATACAGCCCCTATCTATTCAAAAAGAAGCTTAATACTTTGTAACACAGAGCTAAGGTTAAAATCATAAATCAGACAACCGCTTGAAACCAGCAAAACCCAATTCATTCTAACAAAGATTTTAAGAAAACCTTATCAGTGGGACAAGGAACAATAGTCATCAAAAACAAAAGTAAAGAGAAGCAAGACAATAGATGGCCATTAATACAGCCCTATTTAATCTTTAGTTGGTTTATTTTTAAAAATATCTATTACACTTGATTATGGAGCCATGAACTAAGTTTCTTCATATTTGTTTGGCAGAAATTCCTCTGATGTCACTGAAGCCACCCCTAAATTAAAATGTAACAGACAGAAAGAGGAGGACCATGCATGCAAAACCACAGAAAAGGTATTTATTACACCCCTAACGTGGGAACTCACCTTGTCAAAAGCAGGGTATACTGCTCTGATCTCCGTCAGCCAGCCATAGGGCATGTGTCCCACAGGGTACGTAGCTGTCAGAATCGCCACCGCCTGTGGAAAGAAACAGGGAAACATGAACTTCAAACCTTTGAACAGAACAGTCAGACTAACACAGGGTGCCATTTGCCACCAGTATCACCACTTTGACACAGTGAGAAACCAGGCAGGCAGGTGGCTGGTAGGTCTTTGTTTCAGGAAGACCATGAGAGTGACCATAATTTGTCCTAGTGTTTTAAGCTTAGAACATCTTTTGTGCCATGAGGCTATGCTACTCAGCTTTGTGGTTTCACCATCACTCTGACACTTCGGGATATTAGTTAACTTAAGCAGGTGTGTGCCCCTCAGACAGCTGAATACCTCCCCCTCCCACGTTGCTCCTGAATTATTTTACCTACAGATACCTGAGTAGCAGAACACATTACAGCTCACGGTAGCTTTGGTTCTTAATTTTAGCATACACAACATTTTACTTGGTTATCTGTAAGTAAACCGGTTTGAAATAAGGCAGACAGACTGTAAAACACTAGATCTCAGTGGCTGACTGACTTTGGACATCAAACTGACTACTCTGGGGCAAGAGGCACTTACAACACAAAAAAACCCACCCTTCCCCCTACTTTGGTGTCCATCAACAGAAAACAAGACAAAAATAATTCCAGATGACCATTTTCATCATGAGAAACAACTCACTGCCCGCAATTTAAAACTAGGCCCTTTTGCACTTTCACAAGTACAGTCCAAGAGGTACAAGAAAGACATAACTCTCCTTACATATTCATGTATGAATAATTTGGCTGATGTTTCTGATTTCTGAAGAAAAAGTCCAAATACATGTACATCATATCTTTCACATAGGAAGGGTGTTTAGGGAGCTCTTCTTGCAGCTGCTTGGAAATCTACTATTACCCCATGTTTTCTAGTCCTCAGAACCAAAGTGCTCATCTTTTCTGAGAAATGCCTGATTCCCTTAATTCTAGAAATCAAAGTGTTCGACTGCCATTTGTCTGCATGTTCAGACCTGCTACAATCTGCCTATATTCAGGTTCATCTTATATCTGGCAATGATAGCATTAAGAAAGACCTTATTTAACTGCTGCTGTCTCTGTTTCACTACTAAACTTTTGATGTACATTTTCTTGACTATCTGAGCCCATTTTCTCATTATAGAATCATTGAATTGTTTAGGCTGCTTAAGGCCTTTAAGACCATCAAGTCTAACTGTCAACTCAGCACTGCCAATTCTACCACTAAACCCTATTACTGATCATCACAGCTAGATGTCCTTTAAATACCTCCAGGGATGGTGACTCTACCACTTCCCTGAGCAGCCCGTTCCAGTGCTTAACAACCCTTTTGGTGAAAAAATATTTTCTAATATTCAATCAAAACCTCCTCTGGTACAATTTGAGGCCATTTCCCCTTGTCCTATTGCTTGTTACTTCTGAGAAGAGACCAACACCCCCCCTTACTACAACCTCCTTTCAGGTAGTTGTAGAGTGATAAGGTCTCCCCTCAGCCTTGCTTTCTCCAAGCTGAACAACCCCAGTTGCCTCAGCTGCTCCTCATAATACTTGTTCTCAAGACCCTCCAACAGAGGGTCTTCGTAATGCAATTATAATGTATAATTACATTATAAATGTAACCGATGTCCTTGCTTGATTAAAAGATCTATATAAACACAGGACCATATAGCATGCTAAGTGGTTCCTTGAGCTGTTTAAAAAGAGGGGAGAAAGCAGTGATACTCACAGAGGAGAAGAGTGTGAGATAGATTCTTCCCTGCTGACAATAGATTTAAGAATGCTTAACGTACCTTGAAGAAGTAATTGGTTCAGAGAAAACAGAGCAGGTTAACAGAGATCAGTTGTGGAGTTCTTGGAGATTTTTTATTTTAGATGCATCACATTTCATAGCTAGCCAATTGCATTTTGTTGCTGTTAAGATTGCTCCAAATGTACATCATAGCTGGTGGTTTGCTGGCCTTTTTACACTAACAGTAGTGGTCACATTTCAACTAATTTCTGTAATAACTGCATCTGAAAAGGGAGTTGCTGGCAACACAGGTAACATCAGCCAGAGTGGGTCTCCTTGTACTAAGACTGCTATTAATGTATAGACTGATCCCTGAATTAGACATGTAAGAGCATTATGTTTTCTAAATTCTCTCTCCACAGCTTTTTATTTGCACTCACTGGCAACTTCTGAGCAAGTGAACTATGCAGTATCATGTATGACAAATTAGCAGTGCTGACAGAATGTTTGTTAGGCATCAACTGTCTGAATTTTCCTTTCCATTTAGTATCTTACACTTTTGTTTTTCCTACAGAGAAAACATGAGCAATTTGCTAATGACTATGTGGTCCTAGACATCCTCCCATTGAAACCAGCAGCAAAGGTACCCTAGACTTCTTAGGAGAATAGGTCAGCTCATGGTGAGCACTGGTGAACACGATGCGTTAGTCAGAACTCTGTCTCCCATCAGCTGAAATTCCTCAAGAGAAACAGGGTGCACTTAATACCGAACCAGGAGACAGATTTTTTAAAACATGCTTCCTTACATCTCTACTGTATCCTGTGTGGTGCACTGACTGCTGATGGTAGTTTCACATCAGTTTTCACAGCCATAAATACAGAAGACAGAAAACAACAGAACATGAGACTACTGATGACTGTCCAAAAATCTCTGGGATCCAAATGGTCCAGAGCATATGTACCTATATGTAGAGCACGAAAACCTGGGACACAGAACTGTTTGGTGAAAAAATTCTACTGGTCTTGAGGGTGAGGTTCCGCTAGGCCTGACAGCAATGTTCATGTTAAGAGCCCAAGTGGGATTCTTTTCAAGGATAAAGAGAGCACTAAAAAGACATGTACTTGTGGCAGTTTCTTCCTCTTGGCATGGTTGAAAAGAGAAACATAGAGGCAACACCATGTAAATGATCGTTTGCGGTAATGGAGAGTGCTGACTTTCTTACCTCTGTGGCTGCAGAACTGCCACCTAGGTCCCGGGAGACAAAAAGGTTGACAATGGGCCTACTTATTCGCTGAGTTGCCAAAATCAATGCCAAAGGCCACCAGAAACTCAGCATCTTCCTTATTGTAGCCTCTCCCTGCAAGGCGTAGGAAAAAAAGGAAAAAGAGAAGTGAGTTTGGAAAAAAACATGCAGAACTGCACCAGAAACACATATGATTTTTTCTTCTCCCACCCATGACCAGTTTGGTACATTCATTTCAATAGTTTTCAACATGAGGGGCCTAAAATATTTTCACTCATGTTAGTAATACTGAATCAAAAGAAGCTGTGACATGGATCTCAATGCATAAGGTATTTATCTGCATAATTTGTTCTACCTACCAGACAAAGACATGGGAAAACCAACAAGACATCTGAGGAAAAAGAGGACTTTTGAGACCTTCTTCCCAGCTCATGCTGTGCTCTTACAGCTTGGTACAGAGCTCAGTACAGAGGTGCTCAGCAGACAGCCCATCCATACCAGGGGAAGCACTGCCTCATTTGCACCGTTGCTGGAACAGTTTCTAACATGCCTCTTCAAGTGAAAATGTTTTTTTCTTGCAGGACAGAGAGAGAAGGCCCTTCATGCACAGCAGTTTAGTACAGTATTGTAACACAAAATGCAACTTTAAAATCATTCAATTCAAAAAAGTGCAAAGTATTAAGACATACCCCCATTTCAGGCCCACTTCTGTCAGGAATGACATCGTGTATATTCCTGTAGTATCCGAGGCACAATGTGGTACATCGGACAAGTGCTCCCATGTATAAGGACAATATTGGGATCAAGAGAGGCTCCCTGCACTCCAAGTGACTGTGAAGCAAAATGGCTACAAAAACAACCTGCAAGGCAAATGAATAAATGATTAGTAACTTGTCTGTGTTTTTCTTTAGGGCCAGCATGTCTCCTGTCCGACTCCAACCTAGTCCATCTGAACCAACAGCCATGCGTGACTACATCTGACTTGGGGCTTGTGGCATTTGCAATTTCAGTGAGGATCCCCACTGCACTCGTTCATACAAACGAGAAGAACGAGAGTTAATGCCATACATGAGCTCTGTTAAACAGCACTTGAAGGTGTGGGCAGGTGTCAGGCTAGGAGCCATAAATAGGATAAGGTTAGCATGAAAATCTGGCAAGGTCTGGCAGTAAGCATGTGGCTGAGAGTCACCCTTCCCAGGAGAATGTGCTATTCCTATATACACCGAAGTTGGAGACATGCTTCTAGGGTCAGCTTCTAAGCCTCATCTTTTTCTTTTTTTTTTTTTTTGGGGGGGGGTGTAGGGTGCAGTGACAATTAAAAAGCCAGATGTTTTAAAGTATTCAGTTCAGCATTAAAGTATTCAGTTCAGCATTTAGAAGAGGGAAGTCTTAAATCACCTTAATTTTCTACTTTTTTTGAGTGAAATTTTAGTATTTCATCACTCTCTCTTCAGCTATCCGAGTGCCACACTGATGTAAATGAAACAAAAAATTTTGGCCTCATGAACAGCTCATAATTCAGTCTCCTAAGATTAAATGCTCAATCTAGAAAATGCAAAAGAATTGATTAATATGATATTATTCTCTTTGTTAAGTACAGAGCTGACGATGTGCCTGTTAAAACTCCAAATGTCTGTGGATGGGGGTCACAACTGGAAAAACAATTGTGTCTGGTGCTGTGAACAGCAGAATCAAGGACAACCCTGTCAGGACATGCTGCATTCAAGTGAATTCCAAGAAGTACAAACCATGTTGTTCAGAGACAGGTTTTCTCCTTCACCGCTAAAGCTCAAGAAATACTAAAGAAAAATCACACTGTGCAAATATTTGTTAGTCAAGGTATGCTGTTTATGAGAGTTTGCAAACCTGCTTTTGTGAACGCTACAAAAAACCTGTTGTTCAGTAAACAGTCAGTCACAAAAAATGCGTATATGAAGCAACCCAAGGAGAATTAGCTACTGCCTGTGCACCTAATGCTTGTGTAGGGAGCAGATGTAGGTGTAGAGAGTTCTGGGGAATGGAGAGTCACAACTTTTGTCTTCCGGATTTGTTTTTGCTCTGTGTAGTTATTGTTGAAAGAAGATGACAGGTGTCTTATTCTTCACAATCCTGGAGGCCCAGTCACCAACCACTGCAGAAAGGGCATGTGTACCACGGCCAAAATAAGAATTTGTTTCTGTATTTAGCTGTGTATGAGCCAATATGCATCTAGGGTCAGCAAACTTTGTAGGTCACATCTGAACAAGAGCAGATCCTGAGGGTTAAGGTCGTTTACATAAATTGGTATTATCTCCAGGGATTTAGTGCAGTACTGTAAAAGGACAGACCTGCCAAACACAGAATAGCAGCTGACTCAACGGCTCAACCTGATTTATGGTTTGCTCTTATTTAGTGGAAGATGCTGTGGAAAATTGAACTAAGTGCTGTTGACTTCGTATTTCCTTTGATGTTATGCTGTTATTATCCTCTTTCCTGCCCAGTTATTACACCATTCAGGTGGTAATGGGGCAGTACAGCAATTGTTTTACAGGTGCTGGGACTCTCCATTTCGTAATATTTTTATATATGCTTTAAAAGGAGAGCTGTATTTTGATTCTCAAATGCCACAACACTGGGCACAAGCAATGTGTATGAACTTTGTTTTTTAAGTGTGTCTAGTACAAAGCAACAAGATAGTTAACACCTCCCTCACAAATGAAAGTTCAAACAACATTTGGTCTCCTCTGAGCCTTCACCTTTTGTATCAGTTACAAGAACAATGACATACTGGCACTCAGAAGACGGCTTACACTACTGCATTTCACTGGATTAGACATCATGTGCAAAACTGACAGGTGAACTGGAGAATCAAGCCCTCGCTTGCCCACCTACAAGCCTCACTCCGGATTTCAGTGCAGCTGTGTGGAGCATGGGGGAGAATGCACAGTGGGAAGCTCTTTCAAAGCACCCCATCAGCCTCAGGATTGGTGGCAGCCATTCGTCTCTTTGTCTGACCTTTTTTTCCCCAGATGTACACATGTATATGTAACTTGTTTCTCATCCACTCTGAAATAGGGTTGTGGAGGTGTTGGAAGACATGGCCCTAGCCCAAACAATCCACGTTCCCCTCTCCTGACATTGGTTTGGGACTGACTTGATCCAGTGAGCTGAGACCAGCCTAAACCACAACTGTCAGCGAATAGCCTCTACACGATGGGGAAGCAGCCGGAGAAGAGCACACAAGATTACCTCCTCTGGTGTGCTGTTCACAGTAGAGAGAGAAGGCAGTCTCTGTGCAAGAGAGTTCCTGCTTAGAAAAACATCTAGTCTGTAACATGACCAAAAGAGTGACTGCCAAGAGGAGTAATTACCTGAGCTATGACATCTGAGATGGAGGCACAGCCCACTAGGAAACTGTACTTGTGCTTCAGCAGAATCCCAGCATGGGTCCATGCCTGAAAAAAAGGCAGAGAAGAGTTTGGGAAGTGATTATGGTATCTGTGAATGATTTCAGGTCCCAGAATGTTGTTTTCTGGTTGTTATACTGTCGACAAACAACTTATAAAGCTCTTTTCCACCAGCAGTACCTGGTGTGAACCTGGGCAAATGCTAAGCCAGTAATGCAGACAAAGCATTGCTGCACTCAGTTCCTCATTGCCAGGGCTGACAGGGAGAATGGGAATAATTTTATACACTGTATAAAAATATCCAAGCAGATCAAATCAGAAACTGCCCCTTCTTCATAAAACAGAAGCTGCACAGGATGGATTATCATAGTAAATAATGCGAGGGAAAAAAATGCTTATTTTCACCATTTGGAAGCACCTCTGAAGTGTAATATTTATTTGCCCACTGAGTCATACAGAGTTCTGTCTGGAAAACAAAATTTAATGATCTAGCTTCTTTTTATTGTCAGATACTATTTCAAGCAGAAGAAGTGGTAGAGAAAGTCATGGAGGCATGCCATGAAAAGGTTATCCTTTATCAGTTTTACACAGAAGTAAGGCATTAAAGAGACCTGCCACGTTTTAATATTTTGCAGGCCACAAGCCTGGTGATCTGGGAAGCAGCAGCCCACCCTATGTGTGGCTCTCCTGCCCAAGCCCTTGAGATATACCAGAGATATATCGGATTTAGTTATGCTTGCAAAAATTTGCTTTGAGAAAATACGGAGCTTATTCCTTGCGAGCTCTCTAACTCTTTCACTACAGACCAGAATGAGAGAACACACAAAAATAACCAGTGCATCTCATCGCAGGATGACCAGTGCTTTCCAGTGTGCAAACACAGTAACTGCAAAAGGCAGCTGAGGTTTTCTACATCTGTCATGATCTGTGGATGTTCTAAGTCCGCCTAGATGCTTTTTGTAGGTGGCAGGAGATGATGTGTCCAGATACATCCAGAGCTACTGCTTGTAAAGGACACACCTTCCTTCTGCACATCTCCAGTTTCCCATTAGGTAACAGACTTTGTTAACTAAGGTCACCAAACTAAAAAAAATAACATTAATATTAAAATTCCATTCTGAATCAGGCACTCACCATGGCATCCATAAAAGGGAAGGCAGCAAGATAAAGGAAGGCCCTCCGAGTTTTACTTCCCACTGATTCATCCACATGGTGCAGCTTATTAATAATGTAATACCCCAAATCGCTATACGCTGTAGAGACACAAGAATAGGAATGAATAATAAAGGTTATATATGGACCCTGGGTGAGATACTCACTAGTATCAGAAAGACTGTGAGGCCTAGGAGCTCAGACATGCATCCACTTAGCAAACAGCTGCAGGGGCTTCAGGATATTACAGCCTCACCAGCTGCTGTTTATGACTAAGGAGTGCTCTCATGTTTCTTTTTCAAGTAACCTTTGGCAGAGAAGTGATAACAAATGGCTGGGTTGGGAGATGAGGATAGTAAGTGCCACATCTGTTTGCTAAATGAACACACAGATACTCCAGAAAATCTACCGCTCTTTCATTAAATCAAGGCTCTTTGTTAGAAAAGCTGTTTTTACCACGCATTGTGTATTTCATGGGACTTAGTACCTTGTAAATGCTAAAACCACCTATTGTCACTGCATTCTCATGACATTACCTGGCCCAAGCTGTAAAAGGATACCATGAATTGCGAAGGCATGCAACAAATCACACTCATTATGCCCCTCCCTTACTCTGCCTAATTATCACCTCTGTCAGGGCACTTCGCCCATCACTGCACAGTCTCTGGACAGCCTCGACCAGCCTTATTTTCCTTCCTTATCTAGAGCCAGCACCTCAGGAACCACAAGTGGAGAAAGGGCAATTGCCAGGATGTTATTTCATCATCCTGTTTCAACCCAATATAAGACTTTTTAGTGTTGGGCAACACGTCTCTTGCCAGGTCTCTCTTCCCAGGGCATTGGGTGGAAGACAGCGCAGACACAGGGACCCATTACACAGCTCTCTGACCCTGTTAGCACCCATCTTATCCAACTGTTTTAATAGCCTCAGAGTTCTCTCCATGACAAGGAATAACAAAGAGCTAGCTATGATTGGAGTCTCTAAACTATGGGGATTTACACAATACACACAGTTAAATAATCCAAACAGTTTTTAACCTTTTATAAACTATGCATATTATTACTTAGTTTCCTCTATACACTTGTGATAGCTGTTAAAAGAATGATTAGGTTGTAAAGTCAACCTCTCAACGTAAGTAATGGCACAATTACTTGTGCCTAGGGAATCTTACCTCAGTTCTCTTCCACTTGCATCTTTTCTAGGATAATTATTTCAAATGTGAACATCTATTTGATTTTCCATATATAATAGCTCTATTGCCACTGTACAGACTTTCATATAGAATCTTTCAGAAAATTTAGCCTTTTCATGCATGCAGGTCACATAACTGGATTGACAAATGCTGACAATAGCCATCCAATTCAATCTTTTTAGCCTTAAACTGTCTCTCAGAACTCATGAACAATGTTTGGAAGCAATTGAAGAGTAGTTCAAGTTATCGTTGTTTTGTAATGGTTTAGGGGTACAGCAGTTAAACAGTCAACATGACTGAAAACACTGTTTCAGTCTAAATAAGACAATATAAACAAGGTAGTAAAATCAAAGGAGGTGGTATCACAGCTCTAGGAACAGGTACGTGCCTCATTCCAGATAACCAAGACTGCGCAAAAGATGCTGAAATGTTAGAAACTCTGTCTTTTCCCTACGCTGGTCCCTATTGCTATGTTTTTCCTCCGAAATACAACTGTTAGACTTGTAGTCTCCCAGTTTACCCAGTAATCCCCAAGTTGCTTAGCCATGCTCCTGAAGCACTCCCAGCCTTGTTTCCCTTTCAAGGGGCTTGAGGAAGAACTTTAAACCAGGATTCCAACCTTTCCTCAGTTCAGGGAGGCCAGTTTAGTTCTTTAAGGGTTCATGTGCTTGTTACAGTCCAGTCACACATCAAGCACAGCCTGTTTTTATTTTTGCATGAAAACCCATACACCAAGGTTTGCTCAGTATTTTGAAAACTCTGTTATGCATGGATTTTTCTGTGGCAAGTCACTGTGGAAAGCTGCTTTTATGGCAGGGCAGTACATGGATGATTCTGAATTGAATTATTTGAATGAAAAAGTATGGAAGGCATGTGGGGCAAGCTGCTCGTGAGGGCCAGGTTCATCGAGCTGTCTCTTAGGTTCTGTTGAAGTTGCTTTACACTTTTGCACAGAACTTCAAAAACTTCTGCAGGAAACACACCAGCCTTACTCCCCACACGGGGACAGAACCAGAGCCCAGGTGTTGAGGAACCTGCTTCTGTGGAGGGGCCTCCACCAGCGGAGCAGTGCTGGGAAGACAGCATGTCGCAGAAGTCACCCCTCCACGCTCTCTGTGCACTCCACCTGCTCGCCTTCACCTGCTTGAAGTGAGACTAATTTTCAAGTGTTTAGAAAGTGAGTAATAAGTTACTTTTTTGGGGTCTAAAAGCCATTAAGTTGATAAATTTTTTTAAAGTTTACTATCATAGAAAAATTCACAGAATCAGAAGGGTCACAGGCTGAACTACTCTCACTTCTAAGAACAGGCAGTCGACCACAGGGTTGTAGTTTACTAGCAGGGCACTCTCGAGGGACTTATACCACCACAGCCCACAGCACCTCATTTTTAAGGTTTTTAGGGCTATCAGTGCCCTCTCCTCCATCAAAAAATGAAAAGTCTACCTGCACTTTTTAATGTGATCTTATTTTTAAAATCAAAATGGCTAAGCTTAAAAGCTAGTTTTAAAATAGTTAACTATTCCACGATCACTTTTGCTGATGTCCATGAATGTTTCTGTCCTCAGAAAGGAGGACTCAGCAAGCTGAGATTCACTGACAAATACACAGGCACGTGTCTCTGAGCTGTGAATAAAGCAATTGCTGATGCAATTAGAACTTAACCTTGGCATCCTTACAAACTTATTATGAAGCATGGCACAAAATTATTAACACAGATAACAGAGCTGAGAAGTATTACATGAATCTAAAGCAGATGTCTCTTCCCATTCCTTGCATCATGTCAACTAAAACAGAGAAACCCAACCCCAAGACAATCTGGCTGTTTGCTCTCCTCTCATACCTCATTTATATTGTATGTCTACAAATTAGTTTTGCTACAGAACTTAAGCAGGAATTCTTGCTTTTGCCTTTCCTAGCTGAGTTTTAAGATCCAGAAGCTTAAGAAATGACACTGAAAACTGCATACCTAATTGGATCTCCTCTTCACTACACTGATTTCTCTAACAAGCCAATTACTACCACATAAACTTCAGACATTCTTAAAACGATTGAACACACTCTTAATGATGCCAGCATATAGCTGTACTGTAGTCACTCCAGAGCTGTCTGCTACTCAATATGTTATAGTTACATTATAAAGAAAACAAAAAGAAATCCTCATAGGAAGTGATACCATTTATATCCAGACACAAAGCTAGATATGTCAATATTAGCTTTTCTGGAGGACAAAAAAAAAATAAAAAAAGGTTTCTGGGTTAAAGTGTGTTCTTTCCAGATGCATTCCATTTTCATCCTTTGCTGCTAGTTTATAAAATGAACTTGGAGATTTGAGAAGTAAAAATCTTTGCTGCTTGTCAGAAAAATGGCTCACATGGCCAAAACTGGTGCTGTCCAAGAGTTTGTTTAGCTAACTGATTTGCGCAGATAGGAAAATACCAATTTGAAAAAAAATTATAAAAATAATTGAATGGTAAATCTTCATTTGGAGGTTGCACAGGGTACATAGATTTCTTTATGTCTTTGAGTAGCCTGACCTGAAGCAGAAGAAAAAGCCTGTGTCCTCATTGTGAAAGCCTTGATGATTAGAATGTTTTAGGCTTTGTGATTATTTTTTCTTACAGTAATAAATTAATTTAGAAGGAAAAAAAGTTTGGGAGCATCTCACTGCAGACTGATTACTACAATCACCTTTTTCTGTGCTCAGCTCTAGTTCCAAAATTGATTAGTTGTCTTTCCCAAATCTATCAATGATTTTTGGTCTCTGAAATATCTTTACTTAGGCCAGCATCTCGTATGTCTCAAAATTAGCTTGTTTTAACTAAAACATAATCACTGTTCCACAAATATTTTGGTCATAGGCTTTCTTCCTCCTTCGCCCTGAATACCTTGCTGGTAAGAAACTGCCCCTGTTGTGGCAGAAGGGTTGGGACAGTGGGGAAATGTCTCACTCCCTTAGCAATGGCCATCTGAGTGAACCAGGACACATTTAATAAATAAAACTTTATTATCTTTTAGAAATAAATTAAAAACAAAAAGCAAACGTGGATCATATTTTGATTTCTGTTTCTGTGCTGCATCTTTTTCCAGGGCAAAACGTTTAGTATGAGGCAGTACAGTGGGCATGCTGGAACAAGACTGACTGCAAAAAACAACTCATGTTGTCAAAGCCACTCTGTACACCTAGACTCTAGAAAATTCCAGCGGTGTTACATTGAAAGTAGTGGAATTACACCTATGTCTTGCTGCTTATGCAGATCTTTCACATACATGCAGCGACCATGCACATGGGAGGTTCAATAGAATCAGCAGAATTACCAGCAAGTGCTCAAGCTCTCCCCTGTGCAATCTGCACAGGGAGTGGCTCATGCCCTCTAGCCTGTCAGCAATAAATTGGTGCAAAACAAGTCACTCTCATGTCCTGACCATCCAGTTTGCTACAGGTCTGCCTGGTTACTAAAGTTCCAAATTTTTTTCTTCCTGGTGATGACAAATGATCCATCATGTAGTTTTTAATTAGGTGTCGCGGTCACCAGTTAACAATGTCTACTTAAGCAAAGAGGGTGTTTCCCCAAAGTAATTTCTGCCTTGACATTTCCAGAACATCAGAAAGTTGCATAAAGTAATATTAATGTGCAAAAATACCCTCACTTTCTCAGTATACTATTTCTCAGTAAATAGTGAAAGGCTGAACAGTGATGCTTCATAGCCAAAGCAAATGTGCATGTCTTTCATGACACTGGTGTTAAAAGGGCCCACTTAGTATGGAGGGTTTACCAGCAACACCATGAAATGCATTATATTAGCATAATGTTTTACAAATGATTTATCTCCTCTGTCAAGCTGGCAATTTAGTAAGATGTCAAAAATACGCACAGATGGTCTTAGTGTCTTGAATCCTTTCTCCTACAGCCCAATATTCCCACCAAAAGCAGATCTCTGCAGCAATGAGACACTTCAGACCCTGGCTAGGTAGTGAACTTGCCACCAGGAAACTGGTGGCAGTAGCTGCTCCCAAAATAGCACAAGGGAAGGAAAGCAGCACACTATTATCTTCTATTTCCAGATTCCAACTGAAACAGCAAATTTAGGAATACTGTATTGACCAAGGTTTGCAGCAGCATTATAAGTGGGACGAGAATATGTTTTCAAATCCCTTTGGTCAAGGTCTACTTGTTTCTTGGTTCTTAGCACTACGCGTACATGGGGTGATAGGAACTGTTGGTGAGACTTTGCAGATGTTCAAAGGAAAATGTGATGACTTGGAGACCCAGAGCTTGTAACTGTGAGTTTGAGTGGTTTGATTCTGCCAGTGTCTCCCACAGAGGAGGGAAGGAGGGAAGCAGTAGTGGGGAGCTGGTGCTGAAGCAATGAAGAATGAGTCAGGTGGGTGAAATGGTCTGTTTTGATACTTTAAATATGCAGAGGCTGCTGTTTGTGAAGAGCTCGGTGTGCAGACTGTAAATACTGTCTATCACAGTTGGAAATGTGGTGATTCATTGTGGTCACCGTGTTTCTACCACCACTTGTTTTCTTCCTTCGGACCTTCAGTACTCCTCCTTATTTCACTGGGCTTTTTGTTCCCTGTTCCTTCCTGGGCTTCAACAGTCTACGGCTGACAGTCATGCCGTCTTCCTTAGCACCATGCACGTGGCATGTGGAAGAAACTCCATCACCTAAGCACTGTTTGTTTCTGTTTTTCATCCACTGAGCATCAGTAACTTGTACTTCTGTCTCCTGCAGAGAGCCTGGGAGAGACTTGCAGCTGCTGGGGAGTAGTTGCAGGTCCTAGGAGGCTGCCTGGACTCCTTCTCTTCCTCCTGCTCAGCAGGTTATGCATCTGTGGGTCAGAGAAGAATAATCAGGATTTGAAACAGGTTCAGAGGAAACTTGGAACATAAAAACTTGGCAACATCACCCAGGCAATTGGTGCTAGAATCTGACTAACTCCATTCTCTTGGGCTCTCTGCCAGTCCCTGCTGTGGCCTTTGCATATTTTCAAGCATAGACAAGTTAAAATACTAAAAAATATTTTGCAGTCTGCCACCATAAGCAGCTGAAAGACTGTGTGAAGCCCTTTAACTCATGATTTTAACGCATGGTAAGCACAGCCTTCTTTTTTCATTTTTTCCCCAATATTTGCAGAGAGGGCATTTCAGAGGTTCTAAACTCAGCAGGGCTCTGCTTCCAGGCAAAGGCAAGAAACTTATCTGGCATGTTTTCCAATGATTGCCCCAAACACCTCCCTTCAATAACAAGTCTCACATGAAAAATGCAGTGATGTTTTTTACCTGGAAATTTGATAGTTATGCTTTAAATTTTCCTAAAATCTCTCATAGCTTAAAATAAAATGTTGCATGACTAGAAAATTTTTCTTCATCCAGCTGGCAAAGCCAAAAACTTTGACCGGAGCTGGCAGGGAAAAAAGTGAGCAACTAAAGAGCAGCTCTGGGGTCTGAAGAAACATTCCAAACAAGGAAATATGAGAGCCAAATATACAAATGGCCCAAAGTTTATAACAGTGACTCAGTAAAATGGTCTCAACTGCAAACATATTGAAGAAGTGACCAATTGATACCAGTGAATTAAACTAACTTGGATGCATGGATTCAGCTTATAAAATCAGCAACATCTTTTCCCTGGCATAGAGTTACCATGGCTAGTGAGCTGTTACAGTAAGCATTTATTACGACTGTAACATGGAGCAAAAGTAAATAGCTGCTGTATCAGGGGTGGAATAAGAGACATGATGGTCAAATAAACTGGAGTGCATGGGAGGCACACAAAGCTGGTGAACAGAGCTGGCAGCCTGTTAAAGGATAAGAGCAGGGGACATTCATATTTACCAGATGGGTCTTGTATCTACTTGGGCAAGAACTGAGATCTATTCTACATGCTGTCCAGCAGCACGTGCTGCTTTTGAGAAACTAATAGCCTCATTTCCAGGCCAGTCTGTAATTTCACAGCAATTCTGGATATTGCCATCACACTCGCATTTGCCATCTTTCTGTGATGGAACGACCCCCGCTGCTCATCACCCAACTCAACCCTACTGCCTGTAACCAACACGTCTCCATAGGCTATTGCATTACCTCCCTCCTCCCATCCCTTAGAGCTCCCAGCTTTTAGGATTTTACCTGTTGAATGCAATGCACTCTCTGCTTCTTCCTCCTGCGTCTCCTGATCCTCGTTGCTGAGGTCCAGATGCTTCGGCTCTGTAGAATGAGCCAGAAGGTTCAGGGAATCTGATGCAGTTCTTGGAAAGGATGTAAAGTCTTCCAGGTCACATGGCTTTTTATGGCTGTGGCTGATGCTTGGGTTGATATCCCATTTCTCCAGGCTCTCAGAAACTGGCAAATGCTGTGCCTGCCTTACTTTTTATGTTCAGCTCATATCTGCTTGTGTATTTTCTTTGTTTCAGAGTTCACTGAGGGAGCTGGTCTTGGTTTGGCATAAAGTGCTCTTAGTAACTACTTCTCTTACAGACGAATTATTCAACAGAAGGGCACGATGACTAGCACTGGAAGAGGGTAATACCTGATATTTCAGTGAGGATGCTGGCCCCTACTTGCTTAGAGTTTTGTGCTGTGAGATAAGCAGCAAAGGGAGAGGAGACACAGAGAGGAGCACACTGACAACACCACCAAGTTGTGACAAACAGCCCTAAGAAGCACACCTTGAAGTCCTGCTAAACCCATGCAGGCAGATATTGATAGCTGATCGTCACTACCTAATCGTAAGACTGAGCTATCAGCTTCATGCAACCTGATAAACTTGTCAAAGTTCTGCTCACATGCCTGCCTAAAAGAGTGTGCAGCTTGTTTTGCTGTCAGGTAGGAGAGCTCTGGGGGTGGAATTTGTCACTTAACAACCTGATTAAAAAGTAATAAAAATTGCATGGATAGGCATGATACCAGCCCAAGAGATTTAATGTCTTTTGCATCTCCTTTTGCACTTATAAATGAAATCTTAAGCCTAAAATTAATCAGCTTGAAGAACAGGCAAGGGAAGCAAATCAGAAGACATATTAATTAGACGTGAAGTGACCTTACCTATTAAGGTATGAAATATAGCAGCTACAGCGCCAGCCACAACCATGCACAAAACTGCTTTGGTCCTGTCTCGCTTGCTGTTCACAAACACCAGACCTACATTTTTGAAGTCACTCATGGGACCCGTGAAGAACTTCATCAGGGAGTATGCCAGCCCATAGCTGGCCAGCATTTCCACAGCATCTTCCTTGACAGCAGCGATGCCCCTATTCAAGGCCTGTTGAAACATAGAAACAGCAAATAATGTAGCACCTGTGGAAGTGTCCCAAAACCAATCTTCAGCAGCCAATTTCTGAAGGAGCAAGCAAGTTCAGTTCTCACTGTTTTCACACTCAGTTGGGCCTTATTTCTCTGGGTTCAGGAGCAGTAACGTGTGACACAGGTAACTTCATAATTTCACATAGACAGTAAATTCAAGGGAAGTAGTCTTGCAGATAAGGAAAATATGTCCTGCTATACTGGAAGTTAGTATCTTTCATTTTCAGAGTAATTTTATGACCTGATAATAATCATGGATGATACAAGACCATTTAAATGCCACTTCGAGGCCTCAGCCCAATATTGAAAAAGCACAATCCTTGCCAGTCATCTTTACAGGCAAAATCTCTGACATTATTATATGCTGGAATTTCAGGGACTCAACCTCTTTTCAGTGTAATGAGCTTTTCACTACATCCCGTGTAATAGTTGTGAATAGCTGATATCATTCTATGATGTTTATTATGAAACTAGGCCAAATATGCACGTGACTAAACATAGCTGCTCTCCTTTCATATATTTCACACGATTCTGATCCTATATTCATTTATATCTCCTTGTAGCATGTTTAAAAAGAAACAGAGCACATGTATTTCAAGACATATTCAGGTTCAACTAACCTACTAATTCATTCTAAGCCTATATTTAGGAAATGTCTGTCAATGAATCACTGAGAATTAGACGGAATATTTTTATAACTAAAGTGAACCATAAAAAAATGCATAACATTGCTTCAGATTACAGCCTGCACCAAAATGCTTCTAAAATATTGAATAAAAATGACAGAATGATAAATTTAATCTGCAGTGTAACAGCATCAATCACCCGGTACACCCAGCAAACTGTTTAAACAAGATTTGATTCAAAAAGCATAAAGGATGAAATACAACTTGTTTTCATGAGTATTTAGTTCCTATGGGTTACAGCTGATGTGTACGACAGGGCCGTAGCAATGAGGCCAACCAGGAATATCTTGCCAGCCCACCCTCAAAATCTCAATCCATCCACCTACACCACAGTTCTAATACTGCTCTTCCTGAATGAACAAACCAGGCAGAGTATCATCAGGTAATTGTGGTGAAGTCCTTCCATTTCAAATATAAGCATAGTCCTTTTGTTGCACTCTTTTGACTTTTTTTTCCCTTCCAAAGACCATATAAGCAAGCAACTCCCACTAACTTCAAAATAAAGCATATCCCCATAGCAGAAATTAGCGTTTTTCCTAATGTTCTTTTCCATTCTTCCTGTGAGACATGCTTAATTTTTTCAACTAAAGCTGCACTGTCAACATAGCGAAAAGAAAATATCAACTTCTCCATCCTTGGTATCTGTCAAATTTCTCTCTTGCAACATGCTCTTATCTGAGCATCTGAGGCTCCAAATGTTTTCATCTGTCTTGCTTCAGTTTGTCCCCTCCTGAAAATTATCATTTGTTAGATATGAAATATATGCTAGGGCTATGCAACCTTTTCTGGAGTATAGATAATTTCATCTATTGCATCAGTAAGAGTTCAAATTATACTTCATCTGTGGATGCCAAAACCACTACTGAGTGCTTAAAACTGAACTCAACTTGTGTAAAACACTGTGGCCTCTGAAATGAATAGTCAAGTTTAGCTGTCTTTTGTGACGATAATTGTGATAATGTTGTATTCAATATCAAGGTGTATACAGAGTTATAATATTTTAATTTAAACTACCTGAAGATGCTGAATACTGTTGCTGTTGCCAGCAATAGGCAAATAGCCTTAGACTATGTCATATAGAGGGTTCCCTGATTATGGCTTTTCCCTTCTCTTTTGTCAACAATAAAATATTTCTGGCAACTTCAAGTTAAAGAGAAGCAGCTAACCAATTTCAGGTAGCCTGGCTTAAAATCATCACATGTAAACAGCAGAATTATTTCCAGCACAGTTTTACAAATGCAAGTACCTCCTTCCTGGTTTGGACAACTCCTAAATACCAGAGGCTGTGGAGGATTGTAATCCACTTCTGACAAGGTTCCTGGGATAGACGTGCCTTTAAGAAGTCGTCTCATTCTGTCAAGAGGCATAGCACTATGATCCCTCTGCAGAGAGACAAACCTTTGCTGAGCACAGTCCTCAAGCCAATGAAATTAGCTCCGGGTGACTTCGGCCCTGGTGTAACTAAGTTTTCCACCTAAGCAGGACAGACAGAAAAATCTGAGCACTCCTCTTTCTTTCCCTTTCTGGTTTTACAGGCTGAACTCTGATCTCTTTTCTGTGAAAAAATGACAGCCAAGTAGACCCTTCTGAGTAATTTTCCTCAGAGCCACACTGTGTACCAGGTAAGGCAAACTGTCAAAATCCAAAAGGGACTTTTGTAAGAGGTATGCTGCTGTTAGTTTATACTCCTGTGGAATGGTTGGCTGACATGATGAAACACTCTAGAGGCTAGCCCTAAAAAAGCAACCCCTCTAAATGTTTCTTTGAAAAGATCCTTAGGAAATGAACAGTCAATAGGCCTGTATACAGATGGTTTAGCTTCTGTAGCTTTCTTTTTCCTTTCTCACTTTAAGATGACAATGAAAAAGGTTCTTCATCCTCAACTTCCAAACACTATGCAAGAACCTGGTAGCTTTTCTACCCCATGTACCTTAGAATATTTTTGCTACTGAAGCTGACGATGTCATACTTGATAATCTTAAATCCACAAGAAATCCTAGATACTTGATAAAGCTGCTTTGGAGTGCAATATGAAAGACACAGGCATTTGATCTTTCATGGCACGCCACCATGAATCTGGTAATCTTCCAGTCTAATTTCCTGTTAGATTTCCAATTAAATCTTTCATAAAGGAAGAAAAATACAAACCAGGGCAAGGTCTTCATTTTTTTTAGCTGACTCTGTTTTGTACATTTTTTGTGTGAACAAAAATCAATAACAAAACTTCATCTGTATTCCATGTTTGTATCAGAGACCACAGAGCATATCTTTACAAAGATTTGTGTAGCTTGTCAACAAAATCACACAGAACTAGGAAGTAATAACAGTAATGACAACATTTAATATGAGAAGTTAGCTTGATCATACATATTTCAGATCCTACTTTCAGCTGGCTTATTCACACCAAATATGAAGGGCAAACTAGGAAATCGAGATGCTGGAAGAAAGACTATTGCAGGTGTTGGCACCTTCTCCTTAGTTTCTAATGAATAGGTAAGCCAATAGGGAAGCAGGTGAAGATGTCACAGTAAATTGCTATTCATCAAACATGATTAAAACAAAATGACTGATATTGCTCACCCATCTTTTAGAAATAACAGAAAAAAGCACAAAATACTTCTAGGTGGAGCATAAGCCAGTAGGTCCATAACAGTCATATTCCTAAAACAGTCATATTCCTAAAACACTTCTCAAAAGGCAGGCACCAAGATCTACAGCTGCTTCTATGCAGTGTCTTCTATAACTCACTATGTTATAACTAGAAAGATGAAATCTTTACTAGAAGATCTGATAACAGTCTTTGACCTTTTTTTTAATAAGTAAACATGTGCCGTCTCTAATGTTCACTAAAATCAGAGAGGACAAGAATTTCTAAATTCCCAAAAGATTCAGGTCAGAGGAATACCAAATAATACACATAATGACATTTCAAGGAAGTAACCACATCTTTAAAATTGGGTACTGCAGTTGGCTTTAGCTTCTTAGAAGGAACATATGAGACCTCTATCAAATTTCCAGGACATGCATATGGATGAATCCAACAAACTTTTGCAAAGGCAGTGATTTATAAAGCAAGAATTGTGAGAAAAATGTCAAGGGTCTAGCTTGTCCTGTTTTGTATGAGCTTCCAGGACTGTTCACTAATGTTGGCAGAAAAGATTTGGTTGCAATCTGCAGCTACACACCTCTGTTGCCAAAAATTCAAAGTCTGTCTCTTAAGCTGGTGCTATGGATTTTGACCATTTCTCATATGATCCTCTCCTTCCAGAGGCTACTGGATGTCTGATGTTTTACTGTGTAATGGACTAGACATATAAATGCATAAAACAACCTGCTGAGAAAGCCACAGCTATTGTGTACATTTTCTTCTGCTTTTAAAAATGTTTTATCACCTATGTACTACATAGAATTTCAACTAGAAGGGCATAATTTATACTTCATTTGAAGTTAACTATAGACTATGCAGTCAATACTTGACAAGAGCAAGTAAATTCCGAGAAATGCAATTCTTGCCAGTCCTCAATTTTGCTTCTCCTGGAAAAGCAGACTGTGAGCTAGTAGAAGCTTGCATGTTCCTACGGCTTGTTTGAAGCTGGGATTCTGTCTGAGATGTTTTCAAGTGTGTTCTAGCTAGCTGTCTACCTAAGAGCGACATCAAAACCCCCCTCAGTTTGGCAATAACTTGGCCAAATTGTAACATGTTCCCTCTTCCCCTATATCTTTCCTCCTGCCTGCCCTCTCCTAAGAAAATGGAAGAGAGCCAATGTATCCAGTTGAAGAGCAAGCTGATGTGGGGGACAGTCTTTCTCCTGGTGATTGTTGGCTGAGTTTTCATTTACTGTATCTCATCACATTGAAATCTTCAGTATTAAACACACCAGCTAGTTCCGGCTGTTCTGCCTGCCCCAGTCACTGCTGCAGGAACCGCACTGCCCGAAGGACACTCGACAGAGCCGATGCTGCAGACTGCTGTGTTGGGGCTCCCTGAGTGTTATCGCATCAGCATCTCAGCCTCTGGCTGGGTTTCTTATAAAGGCTGGAGCCACTGGTAGGCAATTTGAGGGAAACAAGTAGTGCTCTTACTCTATCTCAAGAACATTGCCCAGACACAGTATATGAAGAGATAGCACCAAAGGGGTATAGAGGTCTGACCTTGTAGCTTGAAAATGATTATTAAGAAGTGTTAGTTGGTTTTGCCCTTTTCCTTTTTTGGGGGGCAAGGGTTGTTTTGCAATGCTTTTACTCTAATTCAGCATCTCTAATTTTGAGTCAGCATCTGCTGTAGATCATGTGTCAGATAACTGAAATGCAATCTGGGGTCAATTCCTTTTAGTCCACTATTAAAACA